AGAAACAAATAAGTCCTGGTAGCACCAGGAAAACATACAATTGGCACATGAAGGAAATAAAAAGAGGTCCGGGGGATAAGGAAGAAGTTAAAAGAAATGCTAATGAGGGTAAAATAGTGAAACTGGGGCCACAGAACTGAGGGAGAAAAAGCATGCTGCTGTGCCAAGCCATTTGCTGTGGTTTGAATGAAAAATGTTCCCTACAGGGTCATGTGTTTGAATACTTGGTCCCCGGACACTGGCACAGTATTGGAAGGTTATGAAACCTTCAGCAAGTGGGGCATAGTAGAGAAAGTGGGTCACTAGCGGCAGGCCTTAGGAGTTCTCCTAGTTAACACAGTCCAGAGTTATCTGAGGGAACCTGGGAGATTGCCTCCATCAGATTGGCCTGTGTCATATCTGCGGGGCATTCTCTTGATTGCTCATTAGTGTACGAGGAGCCCTACCCACCATGGGCATCACCATGCCTAGTTAGTGAGCCCTGGGATACATGAGAAAGCTAGCCAAGCGTTAGAGTGAGAGCGTACCAGTCATCAATGTTCCTCCATGGTTTCTGCCTCAAAACTACTGTCTGGCACTTCAGCCTTGGCTTCCTTGGGTGACTGCCTGTCACCTGTAACCTGAAATCATCCCGAGTTGGTTTTGTCATGATGTTTACTGAGGCAACAGAAACCACACTAGAACAGAGGTTATAGCTGGGCCCCACTTTCTAAAGACCTCACTCTGCTTCCTGACCTGGTGGGATGCAAGCTAACAGTGGTCAGACACTACTGCTACCAGAGCCACTCCCAGGCGCTTGCTGTCACATTGGACTATATCTTCTCAAACTGTGAACCAAAATTAACTGTTCCTCCCTTCAACTGTCTTTCTAGGGATTTGGTCATAGCACCACTAAATTAATCAGGCTTGATTAACAGAGGTAGCAGATCTCCAGTTAAAAAGGCTATCCTTATGACAAAACTGATCTGATAATAGCCACTAAGGTAAAAGTTAGAGTAAGTCACCAACAATACCTACATTAAAAACATTATTGAGGAATAGGGGTATAGCTCAACTGTAGAGCACCTGCTGCCTAGCACATGCAAGGCCCTGAGTTCAAGGACCAGTAGCCCAAGCACAGAGAATCCTTGGCTACAATTCAAAAGCACATAGGATTGGTTGACAGAGTTCAACTAACAGGAAAGAAATTTAGTCTTTATATGGGGCAAGGGGTTATGTGAATTAGCTCCAAAGCAGTGGGCATTTCACAATGCACCACAATGGACATGCAATCAAAGTTGTATGCCTAGTGTTTGTTTATTGTTTTCAAGAAAGCTAAATGAGAATTTAAGAAAGAGAGAGAGAGAAAGGAAGGAAGGAAGGAAGGAAGGAAGGAAGGAAGGAAGGAAGGAAAGGAAAGGAAAGGAAAGGAAAGGAAAGGAAAGGAAAGGAAAGGAAAGGAAAGGAAAGGAAAGGAAAGGAAAGGAAAGGAAAGGAAAGGAAAGGAAAGAAAAGTTTGAAAGACTTGGAGTCACAATATATTTCCTGGGTAGAAACTGGAAACACAAGAATCTAATTCCTTTGGCAGCATGTCAACCCTGACCTATCCATCATTCCATCTTATCCTCAGTTACCTTCACATCCACTGAGATCTAAGCCATCTGAAAGTCCTCAATGACACAGGTCTTCCTTTAGTAATTCTTATGAGTGCTGAGGTTTGTGAAATCATCTTTATAATGGAAATCCTGGCTCAAGAAATCCTGGGGTGACACCCTATGAAAAAGATCCTCTTTTGGTGGAGTGAAGGGCATCTTCCTCCACCACGGACCTTGATTCCAAGGGTGGTTCCCCCTGAGTGAACTCTAGGAACAGATGCAAAATTCAGAGACAAATGGGCACATCCATGCTACCAGCGTGGGGCCTGGCAATGAGCTGACAACTTAAATAGTATGCCTTACCCGTGAGCCAGGCCAGCTGGTCTGTTTTACTGGTTGGGACTATGCCTTAGAAATGTGCTTGCATTTTAGTTTCTGGTATGTTGCAATCCATGTTGTTATGGGATATTCAGGAACACAGGAGGCTAATCACTCTTCATGATATGACATCTGTTTGAGATGAGGATAGGCTTAGACCCAGATCCTTTACTCCCCACTCCTCCCCTTCCCTCTCCCCCCTCCTATCATCCTGAAGATAGCCACACACTGTCCCCTGTCCCTCTTTTGTAAGGCTTTCCCTTTGCAGTGACCCACAGCTGAAAAAGAAAAAAGCACACCACCATGGTTAGTAACTTAACAAATCCCTAAACAGTAGCTGTACTTAACTAAAGGTGGCATGCAAAATCCTACCCATCCCTGGTCTGGATGCTGATGTCCCTGTTGCCTAGAGCAAAGCAAGTGGAAAACATATACATCAGTCTTAAACTTATCCACAGAGTGTGATGAAGCCAGCCTTCACCTAAATTAAAAAGGACATGGCAATGGGCTCGGTTTCTACTGCTCTTGTTGGTCTGTCTTTTTGAGTCAAAGCACAGGAAGTATCAAGTCTAAGGACCAATCTTGGATGCAAGGACAAAGAGAGAATGTTCTTTGTAGCTCTTTCAGGCCGAAATGTACTTGCTCAAAGCAAAACCGCTTGCAACAGCTATCATCGATAGACACATAACCTCCGGACTCCGTTATCCTTTCACTTTGTCAACGCAATGACTACTCTCAAGCTGAAATCTGAAGTAAGAAATAGAAGTAACTGTTTTGTGAAGGGCAGAGCATGTACCAGAGAGTTTATACGCTTAGCATCATTGAATTCACCCAAAAGGATCTGGGTGGTCATACAGAATGATCATATAGAAAATGACATTGAGTCACAGGAAAGGCAAAAGCACCTGCCTACAGCCGTACTGTTAATAATCAGAAGAAGAATCAAACCAGCTTTGCATGACTCTGCCCTCAGAGACACCCCATGTGTCATGAATTAGCATCAAATCTCACTTGAGTAAGAGATGCTCAAGGCACAGGGGAGAGAGTTGAGGAAAAGCCTCTGCAGGACTGGGAGCCAGGGAACTTTCACGCTTTGGGGGTACTGCTGAGAGCTAGAACCCCTCTTCTTTACAGCTGCTCCAAGCCACTAGGGTACGCTCAGGGACCCCACAGGCCCCTATGCAGCCCCAAGAAAAAATAATAGAAAATGAAAGAAGTCTCGAGAGCTCTGGTAAAGTCCTAGGGTAATTCAAACCCACTAGTTATCCTCAAAAGGAAGACTGAAGAAACCAGGTTCAAAAGGCTACTCTATATGTTCTTCCATCTCAATGACCTTCTGGGAAAAAATAAAACTACTGTGCAGGTACAACACATCAATTAGTGGTGTGGCCGCTGAAATGTGGAATAGGAGTTGACTGTAAAAGGGTTTGAGACACATTTTTAAGGTATGAAAGAAATGTTTTCTTTCCTCATTATGGTAGACATCACGTTACTATCCATTTGTCAAAATTCATTGAATTATACATCAAAACCAGGCACATTTTACACATATAAATTATACATCAGTAACCCTTATTTAAGTATGTATGCACACAGGAAGCTGAAATGACATCTTAATCAATAAGTGCTTGCCATACATGCATGAGGACCTCAGTTTGATTCCTAGCATCCATGTAAAAAGGTAAATGTGGTAGGGCACACTTGTAACCCCAGAACTGGAAAGGCGGAGACAGGAGGATCCCTAGGGCTCACTGGCCAGCCAGCCTAGCCTAATCAGCAAGCCACAGTCCCAGTGGGAGACCCTGTCTCAAATAACAAAGTGAACAGCTCCTGATCAACAATACCCAAGGACCTCTGGCCTCCACATGTGCATGCATGCCCATCTACATACGTGCAAGCACCTACACACACAAGGACATCTAAAATAAAAAATTCAAAGATCATGCGTACACGTACACACACACACACACACACACACACACACACACACACACACAAATATGTGATTCAAACAGACAATAGTTGATAAATCGTGGACTAAAAATTTCTATTGTACAACTGCACTGCATAAATCCAAGTCCAAACCCCTCCATCATTCACGCTTCCCCATGGAGAGATTTTCTGCAGGCAGCCATTGCAAGCTGACACACCATAGCCAGCAGGAAGGAGGGTCTGAAGGGAATTTTCAGGCAAACACTTCTGTGGCAGTTTGAATGAGAAGCTGATTGCTAGGGTTACCTTGGCTTCCTGCCTCCTTTCCAGAATTTTCAGAGGTCATTCTGTGTACTTAATAGAAACACTCATCTGGAAAACTGCCTTAAGCCAGATTAAATATAATGTCACTGTTTTTAACCTGTATTTCAGATGGCATGTACGTCTTTATCTTCATATCCTGTTGCAATTTGAAGGCCATACCTGTCTCTATGCTGAGCCCTGAACAGATATGGGGGGAAAAAAATCTTGCTAAATATACCAAATAGTGTAGCTTCTAGTTGGTTAAAATAGCTTGGCATGTATTTAAAATGAGAATTTGGTAAGAATAAATAGCCTAGTTTCTCTATCTTTCCATTTGGGTTACATGTTTTCACACACCTCTTTGGTAATGGTTTCTCTTTCTAATGAGGCCTCAGTCCCTTTGTTTTCTATCCAACACCTACTTTTTGAGAAGGATCTGGAGATTTTCAGACCCAATGTTAACAGCACAATTGTCAAAGGAACATAAGCCACACAAATATAGGTTAGCATTGAAAGTAACTGGTCAGTCATTCAAATTAATAAATCCATAAAGTCATATCCCTGAAGATAATGGGGTGGACGTGGGTAAGAGCTGCCAGAAAGAATGGGTTTCAAAGGGAAATGGACAATAAAGACCCATCTACTTTTGGCTCTTCTAAAAGTTATTGATACTTTCTTAGCATGTGCACCGAAGTTTGGGAGGTATACATTGTTCATACCTCATAATAGGATATGGTCACTGCATTAAGTTGGGTGTTTGTCTGTCTTTTTAAAATTAAAAACAGTAAATAAAACAAAAGTCTTTGGTTCAATGCACACTTTAATCATTTATTTAAAAAATACGAGTACAGCATTTAAAAATTAGGATTTGAACATCAGTGGAAAACATCTAAGACCATATGATGGAGCCATCTGAAGTAACTGGAACATCTGCACCCACCAGGCTCTCCATCACTACACTGGCTAACCAGATACCTCAAGGAGTTTCTCTATATCATTTTCTAGAATAAACTTTTCACTTTCTTACAAATTCCAGGCTTAAAGATAGAAATTACATGAAACAAGCGGTACCACTGACTCCAAGATCTTTGCCATCTCACCGGAAATGCTACCACTTTGCCACTGTCAACTGACTTCTTTTAGTTATGAAGTTATGGAAACCAAAATTGCATGATAAGACAAAAGTAACTTTTATCTCATATCTGTCCCATAGAAAACTAATTAATTTTTTTCTTAAACATATAAGCAGCAGTAGAGAAAGACAACTGGTTGCTAAGTCCACTTCTAATATTATGGCTGCCTTGGAAACTGAATTATGAGGTGGACGGTTCTACTGAGTCATGTAAGTGAAGAATGAGAGAAAGAAAAAGCCAAGTATATAATTTGAAAACCCCTCCAGGATTGATTTTCAGTATGTAACTTAATGTACAAAAGGTTCGTTCTCCAGAAAACTCAAAATGTCTAACAGACATCATTTAAGATGCCAAATTTACCTATCTAGGATGCACAAAGTATGTTCTAGGAGCTAGTGAGAAAAACAAAGGTAGGCAGTTGGCCTCTCATTCACCTTCTGATGCTAATCTACCTAATTAAGCCCCAGTTTCCTTTCCTTCATGGACAAGTCCATGAGCTACATGGCGAATGACTGATCACTATGAGAATTTCCTAGAGAAAGAATCCCCAGAGTTCATACTGAGTTCCCCTTAACTTCCTTAATTTCCAGATTTCACCTCACTGGAAACTTCAGTAGACTCATAGTACCCCTAACCTCTGAGAACTTCATCTGGAAGGAACTTATTTCCATTGTTAAATTCATCCAAAGGGGATGATAGTTCCCCAAAGAAATCAAATTGAGAGAAATATACTATGTCTCTACTGTGATAGAACTGTATCTCTACTACACATCACTCCTAAAGAAACACACTCCCGGATTTCCCTGCAGATGTCTAAGTATGTGGAGAAGGCTGTTTTCAATCCACATTTATTTCTCCTTCACCCTAACACCTAGACAGGTTGCCTGGGCTCCTGTAAGAAGACAAGGTCATAATTTAAAAGATAACCATCATTGTAGACATAAAGTTTTTGGTCGAAGGGATGATAATTAATGCTCTGAATTCTTTCCTGCATCTTTCTCATTGGGATGGCTAGAGAGCCTTCCCTCCCTGTGTTTGTGTCATAGTAGTAAAATATCTCCTCTGTTCTGGTGTTCAAAGTGCGGGTAGCATAAAGAACTCCACATACCATGAAGGCATTAGAAACAGATGGTTTGTACTGCTTGGTAACCCATGTGTTTAGCACCTCAAGAGAGGTATCGTTGAGTTTACTGATCACTATGTTGCCAGTGCTGTCCTCAGTTGCATAAATCACCCACAGTGCTTGTTCATCCACAGCTAAGTCAATGTCTTGCCAATTCACATTGGCATAAGAGAAGCGGTTATTATAGGCAGCCATAGGGAGAGGTTGATTCACAGTAACTACATTGGTAGTCAGGTTAATTTTGGCAATGTTCCTCCCATTGTACCAATTCACATACAGGTTGCTGTTGTATGCTACTGTACCACTCCCTTGGCCATAGCGAATCCGATACTCTCGAGCGTGCGAATAGATTAACAGGTTATCCAGTGAGTTATAAAGTCTGTAATATTCTAGATACCTCCCATCTGAATTCAGAGGTGCCACCCAGTACAGGGTTCTCTCTGGCTGCTGAGGAGAGTAATCTCGACCCCAGGCACCATATTTAAAACTAAAACCTTGCCAGTTAAGCTGAACCACGGAGGGAGCGCTGATATTCACCACACCACCATGACTACAGCTTCCTGTAAAAGAAGAAAAAAAGAAGACATTTTTAGAGAAAATGTATGCTTAAACATTTTAATATCCTGAGAACCAAAACCAACCCTCAACATTTTCCCCAGCATAGTTCAATCACAATGGCAGCTCTGGAGAAGAGCTGCCCTTTGTTTCTGTCTCAGTGTGAGCCCACTGCCAGATCCAGAGAACTGCCTCACGTTTTCATCAGTAGGTTTTTCAAACTAGAAAATGGTTGTAATATAACTACATAAAGTCATATTGTAAAATTTGAGAACCCAGAGAGAAAGGGGGAGAACTGATATTTCATATATCTTCTTCTCCCAGAAAGCATTTTGCAAGTATCTTAATTTTTGTAGCAAAATTGGGAAAACAATACCATTCTAGAAACATGTCCTTTCCTTATAAAGCCAAATGTGCTACTCACCAGGGTCAGCCCTAGGAAAAACCATGATTAATGAAAGATAGACCCTGGGAAAGTGTCCTTGCCTTCTCTGGGACCCCAAGTGTATATCCATAGCAGGTACCAATATTGCTCTGAGCTAATCTCAGAAAAGAAAGTTATAAATACAGAATTTTATAGATCAAGACAATTAGTGCGGGTAGCATAAAGAACTCCACATACCATGTCTCTTGTATGGAGAATCTTAAGGATTCTCAAGCTTCTCAGCCTTGAGGAACTACAAAGTCATTTTGCTATGGACTTGCCTAATCTGTGCCCAGAGCACACCCCTTCACATAAATCACTTGGTGACCATCTTGCCTCAGAGCTTTGAGATGAGTCTTGTTCTTCATAATCCATATGCTACTGCACCATAGAATGGCAAGCAAGTATTTTATCCTTCCCATTCTGACATATTCATTGTCAAAATGTGTACAATCAAGTGGGACCAGATGCACTGATCCATTGACTCCTCATTCCATGTAACCCATAGATAAATGACTCAGGCTGGGCAACTGGCCATTTGATTTGTATACCCTCTGAAAGGCCTGCCAACCAAAAGGATTTGTGTGTTATAAGGAAAAAGAAATAAAATTCCTCCAGCATTTTTATAACATCTATGCAAAGAACTGAACATATATTCTCTGGTGTTACAACAAATATTCTTCTTTAAAAAAAAAAAGTAAGATACTTTATTGGGTAACAAAAATCCAACTTCAAATAAATTTGAGGCTATTTTTCCTTGTTTGCTACTTGGATCATGGAGGGGGAAGGAAGGAAAGGAAGGAGGGAGGGAGGAAGGAACAGAGGGAGGTAAGGAGGGAGGGAGGGAGGGAGGGGAGGAGAGAGAGAGGAAAGAAGGGGCAGAACATGAACATTATCTCTGGCTCTATGCGCCTGGAAGGAATCAAGGAGCCGTGGAGGGCAGAGACGTGAACGGGAGCTGAAAGCAGAGCTCCACAGAACTGCCTGAGATTAGCTCTGGGCAGTAAGGGGAGCCAAGTGACTGCCTGGGTCCCCTCCTTGCTAAACGCTTTGCTCTCTCCCCTCCTTTCTCGGGACTGCTGGGAGGTGAAACCATTACTAGAAATCCTGCTTTTATTTTTCCAATCTGCTGGGACTTTTCATTCCCAGAATTAAATACGTGCTCCTTAAATGCTCTCATAAATCCACAGTTGGTGGGAAAGTCAGCCAACCATACAACAGGTAGAGAAATAAAACCACACTGTACCCAACCTCAAATAATTTTGCATATCATTAAACAGAACACAGTCACAGGTTTATTTTAATAATGCATGCACCGTTTCATAAATAAAAAAGCAACGTGTGTTCAGCCAAGAGACTGCTCTGTGCTAAAGAAATAATAAATAAAATTATAAATTATTATTTCTTCCCCTAAAAGTGATCTCTCAGATGAATGCTTGTTTGCCTTTGTTTATGAAACAATGCATGAATTATTAAAATAAAGTTAGCAATGTGTTCAGTTTAATGATAACAAAAACTGTTCCAGTTTCCATATGCTAAAAGTGGATTTTCTGGTTAAAATACCTAGCAGAGAGCTTATTTATGCAACTACATTTCACTGTGAGGAAATGAAAGTCACTTCTCTTCTTTCAGGTTGGAAGGCTTAAGGGTTGCTTGCTTCATTGAACCTGACTTTCCTGGAAAGAAAATATCCCAAACCAAACAGTAACGCAGTATTTCAGAAAAGTTCATGATGCATATAACTTATCCTCACATTATCAGGGGGTTAAAGACAGACTGTTCTGTCTCCAAAGTGAAATCTTGAGACACAAAGAAACCAAAATACATGATTGATACTGCTAGCATGAAAGCAATGGTACCATCATTAAAACAATGATAGTATATCAAATATAGTACTAATAGCATTCCCACTGATAACAATGAAGGTTATCATTTCTTATATTGACCAGAAATTTAAACTGTGCCTATTATAAGTATTAAAACTGAATGATATTCTAATTTCTTTTCTTATCTCCCAATCCTTTCTAAATAATCTCCTATCCATTTTGTTACTTTCCTTTTTATCTTCTACCACCTTTAGATATTTTTAGTGCTCGGTCAAAAGGAAGTAGAAATAGGGACCAAAAAAAAAAAAAAAAAAAAAAAAACCATTATGGTCAGTCCCGCAGGCTGTGGCTACAATATAGTAGTGACAAGTCAGGGAAAGGGCTTCTTTCCCAATGGCTGGAAGCAAACCCACAACAAAACTACCCAAACCAATAGCCGTCTCCACACCCACTGCTCAGCAGAGTGCCCCTCTCCTCCCATCCCTTTTACAGAGATCTTTCACCCACCCATCTTTATTTCACACCCTTCCTAGCCCCTGCCTTCATGTCAAGGTCTTAGATATATTCCATTCCCTTTTTTTAAAAAAAAAGATTTATTTATTATGTATACAGTGTTCTGCCTGCATGTATCCCTGCAGGCTAAATGAGGGCACCAGATTTCATTACAAATGGTTATGAACCACCATGTGGTTGCTGGGAATTGAACTCAGGACCTCTGGAAGAAGAGCCAGTGCTCTTAACACCTAAGCCATCTCTGCAGCCCCTCCATACCCTTTCTTACCCATTTCCCATCCCAACTTCACCTGGACCCTTTCGAAACAACCAATTGTCCAGCCCACCATCCAAGAACTGCCAAGGGCTAGTGAATCATTTTACATGTGCTGGTGGAAGAGAACAAAGCATGAGATTTTCAGGAACTAGAGTGTCCTTCCAGCAACTCTATAAGCAAGGAAGCAAAAATAACTGAGATCTAAGCAGTTGGGTGCTTTGTTGGAACTGTCTTGTCATTCAGGAAATCACAGGAACACCCCCTTTGCTAGAGCAGCTATAGACACACACCAGCCTGGCACAGAGAAAGTGTTCTCAGACAGGCTCCAGTCCGAATCCTGACTCTACTCTTTAGTTATTGTGTATCACAGAAAATGTTGCTTAACCATATCAGACCCAGTTTCCTTATGTTAAATAATCAATGTCTACCCCACAGGACTGTTGGAAATAAGGCTTGTAAATACAACTCAATCGCTAGTAACCACCATCATTATAAACACTTCATATAGGTTCTGGTTTACATGGCTGTTTCCTGGATAGTGACTTCTGGGTATTTCTTTACCTGTTCTGGTAGTCTCTAGCAATCTAGTAAACAGAGGACTGACCACACAAGGGAATAAAGGAATAAAAGACTAAGCAAATCATTAAACCCAACCCTCATTTATGAAATACTAGAAATCCATGCTACACATCTGATTTATTTACTTTACAGAATGTGGAGCAAGGAATTCTCTATGTAAAGGTACTTTCTTCATCATGCAATCCATCAGCTTATTCCCTGGTATTCTCATAGTCCTTGAAACATGGCTATGTAAACTTTTTAAACTAATAGAGAGGATTTTTAAAGCCAAACACTGTATGCCTACAGAGAACGCTTAATTATGGGTCTGTCAGTGCAGATTCTCACCTGGATAGCTAAGCTGTCTATGTACTAAGACTAGAGAAAATATGATTAACTTGTAAGAATTAGGCAATTAAGCCAGGTTGTAGTGGTTCATACTTTTTAGCTCACTACTTGGAAGCCTTAGGATATAGGCTTGGCATGAAAATCAGGCCACCCTGTACTGTGGAGTGAAATTCTGTCTCCAGAAAATACAAAACAACCAAAGAATTAGCAAGTAAAATGGTTGTAATTGTAAGAAAATTGATAATAAGCTATACTCTCAACACTCTGTGCATCTCTAAGCTTAGGATTGTGGCATGCCTCCCTGCCCCCCCCCCCCCCCCCCCCGCCCCCCCGCCCCCCCCCCCCCCCCCCCCCCCCCCCCCCCCCCCCCCCCCCCCCCCCCCCCCGCCATGTCTTTTACGTCTCACTCAATCACCAACCATTTACCCTCTATGTACCTACAGAACCTAACATCCTCAAGCAGAGCAGTGACCCCTGGGAATTCTCATCATGCTTTTTCCAATATGCTGCTGCCATATAGATTCAGAGAAAAAAATAGACTGAAGTCAATTTTTTGAGGGAGGGGAATTAATAAACAGAAGATCAATTATTTTAAGTTAGAAAGTTCTGTAAAATAAAGCAGGAAAAGTTTTTTTTGCAGCAATGCATATACGCACACATTTTTACACACACACATATATTATATTGCATTTTATTAAAAACAAAATATACTGGGTCTAAGTTCAAGCTGACCACTAGGTAAGCCAAGTGCAGCTGCAAGGGCGGAGCCCAGAGAGTGCAGAATTATTTTAGAGCTGAGACTCATATGTGGTCTTTTTTTGGTTCTGTGCAACTCTGCAGTGAGAAAAGGCAGATAGGCCAGATTTTAAAGTCCCATAATAGTGAAGAACTTTAATTAAAGTCTCCACAGGCTCACAACTTTGTGGTGTCTGGGGATTTTCCAATTCTGCATTATCAACCAATCCAAACATAAAGAGAGCAAGTGAAAGAAATTGATTTAAAAACATGACAAAAATCAGTTTAATATAAACATCATAAATATAATATGAGCAAAGCTGGAGGAGGGCCAAGTGGTTTGGCAGGGATCCAGATGCAGCCAAGGTTGTGAGAAAGTGAGTGGAAGTCTGGGTTCAGTTTGCTTAAGCCACACAGCTGGGCTGAGATAGTTCACAGAAGCCTAAGTGTGAAGGCCTAAGGGAAAGTTTTGCAAATATTTCTAAAGAAAATAACTCAGAAGACTTGCTTGCTTTCTTCCCTAAATACTAAGCAATGGTTTTTCCTCCCCCGCCATCACCCTTAGGTGACTGCCACCTGACACTCAGGTTATTAGGGAGTCCTGAGATCCAGAGATGGCAGACATATTACAACATAAACTCTGTCACTGAGTGCCAGTGTGCCTTCAAGAAAAGCAACATCCTTCAGACTCGAGCCCATCCATTGAAATATTACTAAGTTAGATGGCCCTGAATGTTCCTTTCTGTTTTAAAATGTGCTCAATTTCCAGTTGGTGAATAAAAACCTGTGCCAGGAAAATCTTTTTGCTGAGGGCTGCTTGATCATTCTTGCCAGTCCTGTACCACTGCTCTGACTCTTGCCTCAAAGAGCTGCCACGGTCCACCAGAACAAGCTCCCACTTTGGCTTGATTATAACACTGACCCAGACCAATTCGGCTTTAGTCTGTCTCTAAAGACAGACCATGATCCTTGCCCTAAACACCCTTTGTAAGTCATATTAAAACAGACCTCTGACTACAACTGGAGAGACGCATCCCCTGAACAAGACCAAGAGGCTTATTATTACAGTCCTAGCCCACTGAAGCCTTAAAGAACGCAGTTACATTAGCAACATCCAGAAATATACAGTCCAAAGGAAAAGACTGGTGAGAACTGGAATTTGTAACAAAAAGAGGAAAAGGAAGGCTTCACAATTTGATGACAAGCAATAGTTCCCATTCAGGCTGAGATGCTCAAGACCACGAGAGAAGTTCCTTTGCTGCAGAATCTCTAAAGGATGGGGCTGAATTCTGTGTCTGAGAGGCCGGAGGGAGGTACTTCAGTGCGGCAGGATTTAGCCCTATCTCTGTTCACAGCCAGGCTTTCACTTCAATTATCATGATTACTAATAATATCCATTGCCGGTGTATGGGTGCTGATTACAGAGCCCTGAGCTTCCCAAGCACTGCCTCATTAATCCCCATAGCAACCCTATAAGGTGAGGCCAATTATTCTCCCATTTTATAAATAAGATGAAGGATCCTTTCTCTGCCACTACATAGCTGGCAAAGTCAGGGATTCCAAAGCTTTTCTCTCCAAGCCACCACTCCACTGTCTCCATTCACAGATGCATTCAAGCACCTGCTTCTCCTTCCCCCAACACACACTGTTCTGTAGTTAACCCGGGGGAGAGTGAGACGCTGTCCTGTCCTGCTGGATGGGTAGCAAGGCAGGTCCATGGCTCATGATGTCACCCATCCCTTTAATTCTCAGTGAGTCCTAGGACTCACATTGCAACAGACACCCAGCATGCCCTTCGGGGAGTAATAAAGGTGAAGTGCAGAGGAGTGTGAAAGAGAGGGCAGAGAAAAGGAATGGCAGAAAAACAAAGGCGTCCACCTAGCCTGCAGTATAAATGAGCCAATCAGCCCTTTCCATCTACCAGAAGGCAATGCCACATAAAGACCCTATATGCTCTGCCATCCCTGGTCCCATAGCTCTTCTCTCCTCCAGATAGGTTTTTCCAGCTAGGGAAATGCAAAAGGAATGTGTGTAACTAGTAGATTTTGTTTTAGAAAAATTCACTGTGCTTTTCTTCTGTGAACCCTCATCATATGATAATAGCACTAGCTAAAGGTGGGAAGATTTAAAATGTGGAAGAATAAACTCAGAACCGCACAAATGCCACGATTTCTCCATCACTACAATCTCAGATCTTTTCCCCACCCAACTCAAGGCTCATTATGGGGTCTCACTCAAGTGGTAAAAACATATATAGAGCAGGCTTACCAGGAGCAGGAGGAGGGGGCGTGGCAGGCACAAGCTCACTTTTAGAGGCTTCACATTCTTTCAGCTTGGTCTTCAGAGCCAAGATTTGCCGGCGAATGCTAAGGACATTGTTTTGGTCTAGCGTCTCTAGCTTCTCTACCAGGAGAGTCATATTCCTTATCTAAGGAAATAAAAAATTCAGAGTGACTTTATATTATTGTGCAATTTCTTTCATAAACATTCTGGGGCTGAATTTGTCATTTAGTGAGACATTGCTGCAGAATACACCAGAGATCCTTCTGAATGGTTTCATTTGGAAGAATACATTTTATGGTTTAGACTGAATGCCTGTCACATTGCAGGCAATGTGTGTGACAAGAAGAAAATGGCAAAGATTTTAACAGCTTTAATAATACAGCACAGGCTCACTCTAGGCATTCACAATGTCCATTAAAGTTCACTTCTAATAACCTTCCCCTATAAACTCGTGTTTACTCATGTTGTATTATAATTAAGTTTCTAATGAATGGTGAGGGCTAGAGAAAATGTAAATTCTAAAATATGTAACTAGAATTCTCAATTATAGCCCATGTCATGACTGTGCTGGTAAATTCTGGGTGATATAAATTACCCAACCATAACATTAATATGGTAATCTTATCCATAGATCTTTAAAGACTTTGCTAAAACATATTTACAAGAAGTCTAATTTTTTTTGCTTAATTCATGCATGTTTTTATTTTTTTCAATTTATTCTTTGAGAATTTTGCACAGTATATTTTTATCATATCCTTTCCTACTCAAATCTTCCCCCTCCCTGCTCATTCAATTTCATGCTCTTTCTCTCTCTTTAAAGGACAAAAACAAAAGAAAAAAGCAACTGAAAAACATGGAGTCCAATTTGTGTTGGTCATCTACTCCTGAGCATGGGACTGCTCTGGAGTGTGGTTGATGTACCCAGTGTCGTTCAATTAAAGAAAACTAATTTTCCTCCTCCCAGCAGTTATCAATTACAAGCAGCTTCTCGGCTAGAGGTGGGACTTTGTGCCCACTCCCCTCCTTCATGCTCAGATTTTTAAATGGCTTTAGATTGCACAGGCCTTATGCATCCTGTCAGTCTCTGTGAACTCGTATGTGTGTCTGCCCTGTTGTGTCTGGAAAATTCTACTTCCTTACAATCGTCCACCACCTCTGGCTCTTTCAATCTTCCCACCCCCTCTTTCTCCATAGATTCCTGAGCATTGGGGGCAGTGGTGGGATGAATACATCCCATTCAGACCTGAACACCCCCAAAATCTTTCAATTTCTCCATATTCTCCAGCTGTCAGTCTCTATGTTAATCCCATCTATTTTGAGAAGAAGCTTCTGCTGAGTGTTGAGTAATGCATTGATTTTGGAGTGTAGCAATATGTCATCAGGAGTTGTTTTATTGCTATGTTGGACATATCACCCACCATCCCAGATTTCAACTGTGCTACAGGCTGTGCTACAGGGCCATAGTAATAAAAAAAAAAAACAGTATGGCATTGGCATAAAAACAGAGATGTTGATCAATGTAATAGAATTGAAGACCAGCTATAATGCCACACAACTATGGACAAGTGATTTTTGACAAAAAAAAAAAAAGGCAGAAAATGCACACTGAAGAAAAGACAACATCTTCAACAAATTGTGCTGGTCCAACTGTATAGCTGCATGTAGAAGACTAAAAAATTGATTCATATCTAGCATCTTGCACAAAACAATTCCAAACAGATCCATATGAGGCCTAATACACAAGCAATTTAAGTACATGGAGAATAATTCTAAGAGAAATAAGTGATCATTCACAAAGGGAAGTTATCCACAATCAGGTAAATTATATTTCTAGTCTCATGAGGATAAATCCAAGACAGAGAAGGTACCTGATTTAACATGGTCAATTCAGATTTACGTCATCACTTTCTGAAGAACAGAAAGGTCATTTAGTTCTGGGGCAGAATTCTTTTTTTTTGTTTGTTTGGTTTTTTTTTTTGTTTTTCGAGACAGGGTTTCTCTGTGTAGCTTTGTGCCTTTTCCTAGAACTCACTTGGTAGCCCAGGCTGGCCTCGAACTCACAGAGATCCGCCTGGCTCTGCCTCCCAAGTGCTGGGATTAAAGGTGCGCGCCACCACCGCCCGGCCTGGGGCAGAATTCTTAGTGTCAAACATCTGCTTCTCAGCCAACATGTTCCTAATACACTTAACTTATTATACATGTATAAGCATCCATCCAAAACAGAACACAGATGTGCCTCATAGTCCTGAGACAGTAGCAGAATTAGGGTTGAGGAAAGAGTATCCCATCCAGGTCATAGTACTTGTTCAGTCAGTCACTGAATGAAATGCATTACTGATATACTAAGAAGTGAATCATTCCTTACCTCCACTTCCAGCTTGTCAATAATTTCTGTGCTTCCAACAAAATTCTCCTTCAGCTGTATGACCAGTTTATGCATCTCCTTCACTTCCAGTTTGATCAGCTCAAAGTCTAGTTCTGTGTAAGAAATACTGTCCTTCTCCATGACCTCTACTCGGACAGTCAAGTTCAGGAGTTTCTTCTCATACACACTGATTAGCTGGACATACTCCTTCACCTGGAGGAGAAGCAAAAAGCTTATGTCAACTCACAGAGTGATATCAAATAGACTTCCTGCACTACAAAACACTTGAAGATTATTTGATCCTTGTGAATCACTGCAAAGGAGTGATTCAAAATATAGCTCCCTTTTTAATCCAAATGCCAACTAAAAATAGCATATTACTGTGGCTTGGGGTCACACTTACCTACACTGAAAATAACCTGTATGTAGTATATAATAATGCCCATCTTAAAGTCTGAGGATGCTAGCTCACTGGACTGAACCACTTGAGATCATTTCTCTTCTCAGATCGTTTGCTCTAAATCAGAGTTTCTCAGCCTCAGTACTATTGACATTTTAAGCAAGTCTCCTTCTTGTGTGGGAGGTATACAGTGAATTGTAGGATATTCAGTTGCTCCCGGTTATGACGACCAAAAATGTCTCAAGACATTATGCAATGTTCTCTGGGGACAAATCGCTGTCTCCACCGTCCTTTTGTTTAGAGCCATCACTCTCTGAAAGGCTCAGTATTTTCTAGAAGAGGAGAAATGCTGAGCATTCTGAGCCTCTCTGCCTTTTACAAAGAAGCATAAGGACCCCACTCCCTATACAATACGTGAGTGCAGGCACAACTGTAAAGTGCACATTTCATTAAGTGAGCTCACATTTATTCCAAGAACTGATTATTGCAATCAGACCTTTAAATTACACATTTGTTGCATATATTTGAATGTCTGATCCTTAAGTTAAAATACTTCCAAAAATTCCCTTGGTGGTTGAGTGTATAATTGGAATCTCCGAAAGAATATTTCAATAAACAGTCGGTGACACGTTTTTGTATCTGATCTCTAAAAGAAATGTCACGGCTTTTTCAAAGACCTGCTCATTAAAAAGTTGCTGCTTTCAGTTTCTTTCTTAAATGTGAGCATAAGAAATGCTTCTCCCCAAACTGCATTAACGTCAAGTTCCTGGATGAATTCAGACAGATGTTGACCTGTGGTCTCTCTAATGACAAAGGCTGTCCTAACTCCTGTCACGTAGCCCTTCCACTTAACCCCACCATGCAAATTAGAATAGACTCATGGGCCACAGACCTTCAGAACTAGGGCTTCAGGAGAAGAGGATTCTAATGAACATTGGAACTGCATACCTTGGCTCCATTACTGTATCTCCTCAGGCAAGTGATGTTCATTGCCATCAGATGCCCCACCTATTGGAGGCTGGTAGGGATCATGATATTTTGGTGGATACAGATTAAAAAAAAAAGAGTGTGGGAGGTGCACATAACAAGCCCTCACCTCTCAAAAGATGAACAGAGACATAAGGTGTTCAGGCTCCAATTTCTTTTTAAAAATTGGCCATAAAGCCTTGTCTGTGGTGAAAACATAGTAATAATGCACCAATCCATTGCAGAAATAGAAGTTTGAGGAATGAGTGTATGCTTGTTGGCATTTGGCCTTGCCAGCTCTTGGAACAAATGAAACACCCTCAGCTTTCCTGGAACCCATTGGTGGCACATTATAGCTACCATTCTGTGCTAATGAGTGATGCAACTGTCATCTCTGCTAAATAAAATGAGGTTCCCCCATACCGATTCTCACAGAAAACCAAGGCATGGCCTAGAGTTTGTGACCTGTGAGAATTTGTGCTGGGTTTGCCCCAAGTTTAGTTGCAAAACAATAGGTCTCTCTAAATCTGGCACGGAATTTTGAAGGGTGATCCTTTCTACTGACATTTAGAGGAAGGCTAGGTGGTAGTCATAAAAAACTGAAATTGTCCATGGTTACAGTGTGCAGGAGAAAATTTGAAAAATGGGTCAGAAAGGCTTCACATATGAAGTTTACAGTTGCAGAGATTTTGTACACAGAGATAGCACAGACAGCTCTGAGATCCTAAGGGCTTGTACTCAGTAGTTTCAGCTCAGTAATAGCAGAGTCGCATACCCAGAGATGAGTCCAGGCCCACACCACTGGCATTTAGTACCTTTAGCACATTTTCCCTCCTGGATTTGTAATGCTTGTTCTAAACAGAGGGAAAAGGCCCAAGCAGGGAGCTTGTCTCCAGGGGATACTCAGTAATGTCTAGAGATACTTTGGTTGCCACAACTGAGGACTGAGTATGTGCCACTGGCATTTAGAGGCCAGGGATGCTATAAAAACATGCTAGCAAGAAGATGGGTCTAAGATGGAGAGGCCACGCAGCTGAAACAACATCTTTGCCCCAATTTCATCACTATAGCAAGTGTGAGCCTAAGAACACTCACAATGCTTGCCTTCAAATCATCAGGCTGGCATTTACAGCTCCCACTTTATTTTATCTGGTATGCACTTAACCATGTCATGGATTAAAAAAAAAAAATCAAAGTTTGTTTGGAATTTGGTTTTGGGTGGCTGCTGTTGTTTCTTACAATAAAAGTGGTCTTGTCGTAAATAGGGAGGTAGTGTGTCTGGCTATTCAGCTAAATAATTAGTCTGTTCATAGTTCTATCAGCTCCTCAAAACCCAAGATCATAACTACAGCCAGATTACTTGAAATAAGTAAATGGACTTTGAAACATACTGTTATTTTCAATATACCCTTAAAAGCTAATGTAATTAGGTTAATTGACCCTGAAAATATCATCAAAACATGCAGTGTTGGATACAAGAACTGCCTGAGATCAAATGTAACTTCAGTACCCAGTGGGCAAATCCCTTAATTTCTCTAAGCTTTACTATACTTGCCAAACAACGGGTAAAGACACCAAGCTTGCACGATTATTACAGAGGCTAGAGATGATGCACATTAAGGGCCTCGCTAATGGATGCTCTATGAGTTCTAGATATTAATAGAGAAATGGTTATTTCAGTGTTTTTCAATCTAACCTTTCAATTTACTTTTATTCCACTGCACAAAGCATTGCCCAATCAATGTTGTTTGTTTATGGGTTGCTCAAATATCTCCCAGGATGCCTCAACCTTCTCATGCATGAGCATCTATTAGCAAATGTGTCATATTAAATAACTTGTCCCAAAGACCAGGAACCTCGAGAGAAAGAAAAGCAAAAACAAAAAACAAACAAACAAACAAAAACCCTGAGGTGCCATTTGGGGCATTGTGGCATCTTCTTTCTAAGTATGATCACACAGGATGTGTCATAAGCAACAGAAAAGTCTAAAAGGCTTTCAGCATTTTCTGCAGAGGCATCTTCCTGACTTCCCTGTGTACTGACAGATGATGAATTAATGGAAGGCAGTCTCAAGCCTTTCACCTGCTCAGAATGGGCGTCCCCCTAGGTCCCTAGATAAATGGTGATTTCTAAGACAGTCTGGGGACAGCTATAATAATTCACCCAGAAATCCAGAAGCCTTCCGCTAAAGAGATAACTTGGGATTTGAAGGCATACCTGACCTGCTCCATCTCTTGAGTCTTCTCAGATCTGGACAGCAGAAACAGATCTGGCTTGATTCTGGAGACTCAAATCCCTGACCTTCCCATAGCAGCCAAGAGAAGACTGACATCAGGAAAGTCCCTTTACCTGTGTGAACCTTGAGTTTTCTAGCATTAAAGTGGGAGTGAGGAGATGTGGCCTACCTCCTTTAAATGCAGGCTTGAAAGAACAGGAAGCATTTGGACAGATACAAACGAAGGCTGCTACTGTTACCACTGGTGTCATCTACCACAACAAATCAGCCATTCAAACCTCAGCTGATGCTAAACCCCTTGGTTAGGCCTCCATTTTTGTGTTTTGTTTTTGGTGGGGGGACAAACTACTGTCACCTTTAGAACTGAGAGTTTTCCTGCCTATTCTGCCCTCTCTCCACCAATTATTAGCAATCTGATGTCTCCTGCCCCACCTCTGCTTGGAGCATTGGAATGAAATGCCCCACACTCACAAACATGGCTAGCCACTTACTCTCTCTGGGACAGTTGGAGGTTTCAAACTGCCCTTCATAGGCCTGCCAGCAAAGATGACATGCCTATCAGTGGCCTCCACTGTCTCAAAGCAAATGGCTCCAACTGACAAAGACCTCTACCTAGGATTTTCCTCTACTTGTCATGTTTTTATGCATAACTTCTTATCTCTACTTGATTATGCTGGAATAAGGCTATGAATATTAATGGTTGGAATTTATAATTTAGTGCTATGCCTTTTCTGCTGATTAATTCAAGGACGTTTTATTTCTTAAGAAGCTAGGTTCCTGGAGTAGTCAAACCCATTTTTCCTGGACACTCATTTTAACTTAGGATATTTATCTACCAATTCAGGTTGAAAGCAGGGTCTCAGGCTCACCGTAATTTTTTGTCTTAAAGGATAATGATATTGGATGTTGAGGGGGCTGCACTTAAATTGCTCAGGAAAACTTCTTTGGAAGGCTGCAGTAAAGCCAGAACTCCTTGTAAATTAATGGGGTTGTATTAAATAATGCATAATGTGATTATATTCTAGCCTGGACTTCACCTGGGCATAAAACGGGAGCCTTTCTAATTGATTTGTAGCTTGGCTAAAAAGCTGGAAGGGGTTGAAATTGGAATGGCAAGTCACAAGGCTCCAGCAGGCTCAGAGAAAGACAACTCCTTTAGAATGAATTCTTCCGGCTACACAGAGCAGAGCCCAGAAGGTTCTAGCCGGGATTTTTCCCAAGCCTGAGAGACCCATTACTCTCCACTCAATTCCCAAAGAAGCCTTCAATTTTGGTCTCATGGGAAACACATGGAATGAAATGTTCCTCTTCTAGCAATCAAAAATAATTACCAAGGGGGAGGGGAGAATACAGAAAAGGAGGGATTTATACAGATTTAAATACAGGGAAGGAAGAAAGGCAGGAAGGAAAAATGGAGAATGGGAAAGGGAAGATTTGAAGGAGAAAAGAAAGGAGGAGGAGAAAGAGAAGGAGAAGGAGGAAGAAGAGGAAAGAACCATCTAAAGGTGAGAGGATACCAACAAGAGCACAGCAATAAAAAAAATCAGAAAGGCGTGGCTGATATGTAAAATTAAATTAATTATAAAATATTTTTTTAAAAAAAGAATCAGAAAGGAAGAGCAAGAAAGATTGGGAAGGATGAACCAGAGAAGGACTAAGGCAAAGTGAATAGGAAACCAGTGGAAACAAGAATGAGTAAGAATTAAAGAAAAGGTGACAGAGAAAGAAGATAAACCAGAACTGAAGAGGGTGAAGAAGAGGGCGAGAAGACAGATCAAAGCTGGAAAGTTAAAGAAAGAAAGCCAAAGAGAAGAAGAAACCACGGAGCAATCAAAGCTGCGGGGCCAGAGCCTTTCCCACTTCTCCACTTTGTCCACGGTGTGCTAAGCCTCGATCCCACTCTCTTACTGAGTTTTCCTTCTCTACTAAGAGGAGCTAGGAGATTTACTATGAGTCAAGACAGTGTTTGAAAAGAAAACACTTACCTTAGAAAACTCTTTCTCGAACTTCTGAGAAAGGATGTGAGCTGTGAACTCCAAGCGCTCCACCCTGTCAGCAGGGAAGGCGGTGTCTGGCAGGGAAACGGAGCACTGGCAGGTTCCATGACTGTCCACAGAGCCGGTGAAATTGGAAAATGACTGTAAATAATAAAAGGCGAGTGTCAGCAATAAGCTGGAAAATGAACCTCTCGGGCAACAGGAATGACAGAGATTGGGTTGGCAGAACATGATGGAGGCAAACAAGTGTAGGCCAATACATGACCGAACAGTGTCACAGAGACAAGCCAACCCTGTCTCCACCTGATGGCTAAGCCTCTCTCAGCAGCTTGTATCAAAAGGAAGATTCTCCATACTTGAGGAGTCCTAAAGAAATCCTTCTATCTCTCTGCAAAGAAAAGAAAATGAAGAGAGGCCAAGAGGACTAAGGTTGAACATCTGTTCTTCCATTTGCTGCATGTGACACCTCCTTAAGTCTGTTTCCTCCTCTGTGAAGTTCAGATACCCTGGTTGAAGTAAGCAAGTGACGTTCACTGAGTCCCTGGCACGTGACAGGTGATCGGGTGCTGTCACTTTCTCTTTCCTCTTACTAGCACAGGCACACGTGCATGCACACACACACACACACACACACACACACACACACACACACTTTTACTCCAACCCCAGCCCAGTTTCTCCCAATTAGAATAAAGAAAACTTGAAGGTTTGTGGGCCGTGGCAAAGATATCCAGTGAGAATTCAAATCCTCTCTTCAGCTGGGAAATTATACAATTCACATTTTTCCAAATGGAAACAAGCCATCTACTCGCTCAAAAATTGAGCAGTATATGAGTTTAGAGGTTCCTTGCAAATTTCTCAAATGGAAGTTCTCTAGCTTACACTTGCAAGAAAAAAAAAGTCATTTTAAAATATTTGAAGTTTCTTTAAGATATTCAGGCTCACGCTTCGATGCCACTGCATATTTTAAAATGACAGGTTTGAAAGATTCTGTTTTTCTTTTGTCCCCTTTGAACTACCCCAAGGGGATCCTGGCACAATTAACATTTTTCACTACTACTATTACCTTGCAGAGTGAGTCTTGTCAGCCAACTGGCTGTGCCTTTTAATGACCTCATCGGAAGGCCAGCCCAAAGCTCACCTATGGAGTGTCAGCCTGAAGGGACTCTTTGTGAAGCGAAGGAGGAAAGAGCAGTTTTCAGAGTCTGGAGAGACTCTAGCCATGCTTCAAAGTTCACATCAGCTGGCTGTGGCTGAGTGTATCTGCTCTACACACAAGCCACCTCTACTGATCTCCATGACCCCTGAACAAACCTGGCCTAGATGCTTCTGTAATTGAGATTTAGCCCAGCAGTGACCTCTGGACCAATTAAGGCTCTCGTAAACAGTGGTGACTGTGGTGGTTTTTAAATGAACCTAATCTTCTCTAAGATGGTAAGAATGAAGTGTGTGTGTGTGCATGTATGTGTGTGTGTGCGTGTGTGTGTGTGTGTGTGTGTGTGTGTGTGTGTGTGTGTGTGTGTGTGTGTGCATGCTCACACACACACAACACACATGTCAACAATGTGGAAGCCAGAGGACAACACCGAGTGTCATTCCTTGGTCAACCAACATTTGCCCTTTTTTCTTGAGACAGTCTCTCACTGACCTGAGACTCATCAAGTAGGCTAGGGTGCTGGCTGGTCAGCCTCAGAGATCCTTCTCATCTCATCTTCCCGGCACTGGGACAATAACCCCACACCACCACACTTGGCTTTTAAACTAAGGGTTCTGGAGACTAAACTCAAGACCTTGTGTTTGCAAGTACTTTCATCCGCTGTGCTATTTTCCCAGCCCTCCACACCAGGAAACGTCTTGACATTGTTCTTTCTTGTCTAATCAGATCTCTCCATCTTTAGGGAATCAGGGAGTAAGGGGTAGGAGCAAGCGGGTTTATGTTGCACGTGGTAGCAAGGGTTTAGAGTGGGGGTGGGAAGGGTCTTTGCGAAGAATGAATAAGGACTGGACAATTTACACCAGGAACCTGTCGGAGAGGTTGCGGACTACACAGTATACACCAGGGACCTCTCGGAGAGGCTGTGGACTGGACAATATACACTGGGAACCTGTTGAAGAGGTTGCGAACTGCACGATATACACCTGTTGGAGAGGTTTCAGACTACACAATGTACACCAGGGACCTGTCAGAGAGGTTGGATTCTACTGGACTCAGACCTATTACTCCATCTAAGACAGAAAGACTGTAGCACAGGTATGCCAAGTTTTTTACAGGCTCTTGAAGAAACACCTTATCGTAATAACCATCCAGCAAAGAAAAAAACTTGCATTGCATTGACGAGGGGAAGTTAATTAGCTTCACAAGACAGGGGGGGACCATTCCTGGAGTTCTCTGAGAAGCTCCGTCAATTCTAGAAACAGCAGGTATCATCAAGAAGTCTCTAGACAATCAACTAGGAACCACTAGCTAACAAGTTTTAGTCCTGAAGTTCACCTGAAAGACAAGCAACTAATTATGAGCCCTGCTGACAGCCATTCCATTGGCTTCTATTGAACATCTCTGTCCCAGTGCTGGAGACTCCATCCTGCTTATCATCAGCCCAGCGTGCTCAGCTGACATCAAAACGGTCCATAAGTTTGATCAGTGTCTCCCATTAGAGATATTTCTGCTCCTGGAATTCAAAGACAATGAAGCTAATGGTGATGAGTCTCTCTGCAGTGAATGCTCAAACTACATGAATGAAATGTGGGGAATGAGACACAAAGACAAGTGCTTGTCCCCTTGGCCTTTGGAAGGATGTGTAGTCCCCTTGTGGAGGGCAAGTAGGACCCTGTGTGCCCCACAAAAGTGACTATACTGCCAGGTTCTCACTTGGTATATGTTCAATTAACATGTACGAAGGTCTACAATACCCCAGGCTCGGGAATTAGGAACTGATTAAAACCAATTGTGGCCCAATCAGGCTCATTTTCCTTCTGAATGCCCTAGGGGCTTTTCCGACAGCCTCAGACCCTGATGACAGAAGCTCACAGTCCACTGTGGTTCTAACTCTGTCAGTGAGCGTGAGGAGCCTTCCCTAGAACTATGAAAGGCAGTGGCCAATTCTTTGGAGGTGTGCACAGTGTTCTGAGCCCGCCAGCAGAAGGTGCGACTCACATTTGTGATTTAAGGTCGCAATTGGCTCTAATTAGCAGCCGAGTCTAAGTGCCCACAAAGATTCACAACATAAAATAACGGTACTCAGCGGTTTGAAAGTACAGAAAATGATACGTTTGGAACTTGCTCAATGACAGTTATAAAAGGGTGTTCCACTACTTCCCAACAAGCTCATCATGCTGACAGCCAGCCTTAGAAAATTAGGTTTATAGTGGAATTGATACCTGGTCCACTATAAAAAGGGGTTTGGAGTGTGATACTGACTCTTTCACCACAGGCAGATAAGCAAATGATGAAAGAAATTGAATCCTCTAAGTATAGCTTAAATACTAGTTCTTAGTTACTTTTAAATATTTGTCTTCTTACCAGACAGTGGTCACTTTCCTCTGTTCCTTCACTGGTATTTTATTTTCTATGACTTCAGCTGAAGATGTTACATCCAAATGCTGGCTTTTGATTGGTAGTGAAGCTTTATAATAAATTATTATTGTTCACCTCACTTCACCAAAAAAAAAAAGGTAACTCCTTCTAATTGTCCCCAGAAATTGTTTAGAACCCCCAAGATAAGAGTAAATATGGGATTTCTGACTACTGTGGAGCTGGTGTATGATTGTGGTTCTCTGAAATTTCTTCATTTAAAGCAATTTTCATCTGTACCCCGGAAATAGAGAAAGCTGCATACAAAGAGACGGTTTTCACAACAGACTCCTTTGAAGAGTTGAAACTTGAATGAAACAACTGAACGAGCACGAGGGAGGTGTAGTGACTTTAAGTGACTTTCACTCGCTTTAGTGACTTTAAGCCAATGACTTCACCATAGCAAACCTCAGATTTAACATCTCTAAAATGGGACCATGACTTTTACCTAACTCTTGGGGGTTAAATAAGCTGTGTATGTATTAACCTAGTCTTGGCATTCATTAGGCATGCACTGAATATCGTTGATGTCATTGCCCTCTAGGCCCCATCCAAATCACTTGTTGATCACATTTTCACGGTCTACACATTTTAAAGATGCTAACGCAAACACTCAGACAAAAGCCTCCCCCTCCCCTTTTCCTGTTTATCCTTCCATTCAGATAAGTTCATGAACGTGGCTGACTCGATGAAATGCCTAGCAGTTCTGATGGAGGCACTTTGATGGAGTTAGAAACCCTCCAGCACAAGTCACACTGCAGTAAGGCTAGCCTGGAAGGCTTTGCAGAGTAACAGTTCTGCAGAAAGGCCCAGAGGTAAAATGGGCAACTGTTTCCTGTCCTGCATCCTGCAGCTTCTCCATGCCTCTTTTTTTTTTTTTAAAGGAAAGCCAAAGAGTTCTCATCCCCCAAAGAATCAGGCAGCCTGTGCATTCTACACAGGGCGCCTCTCCAGACCCATCCCTGTAGTACACGGTGCCTTTGATGGTTCATTTCACTGATGCAGTTGTTTGGCACTGGTAATAGCCCCAGCAATTCCTTATTTGAAAAAGAGATTGAAAGGAGTTAGCATTCCCTTGGGAAATTTCCACATGTAATGGCATTTTCCTAAGACTGATAATTCCTCTTCTTATAACCTATGTTCTCTCTGTGTGTGTACATGTATATGTGCTTGTGTGAGTGTGTGCCTGTGCATGTGTATGGGGAGGTAGTAGATGTCTTTCTCTACTACTTGCCACCTTATTTTTCTTGAGCTAAGATCTGTTGCTGAACCTAGAGCTCACCAATTAGCTAGAATAGTTGGCAAGTAAGCCTAGGGACCTTCCTGTCCCTGCCTCCTCTAACCAGTGATGGGGCTGCAGATGTGTGCTGCCTTGCCTGGCTTCTTACGTGAGTGGTGGAGATACAGACACAGGTTCTCATGCTAGTGCAGAAAATGTTTTACTGAGCTTACCATGTCCTTAGACCCATTACCCATCTTCCTTATAAGCTAGGTGCAGAGGAACTGGCAGGGTTCTAGACGTTGCATGGAGACTCTCACTCCCTCAGAGTCTATTGCTTACTCTCAGAAG